GAAGTTCTAGTGGACAATCACTTAAATATGAGCCAGCAGTATGCTGCAGCTGCCAAAAAAACGTGATCCTAGGCTGTATTAGCAGAGGGATAGAATCAAGATCACATGAAATGTTAGTAGCACTTTATAATACCTTAGTAAGATCAAACTTGGAATATTGCATCCAGTTTTTGTTGCCACAATATAAAAAAAGATGTGGAGACTGAGGAAAGAGTGAAGAGAAGAACAACAAAGATGATTAGGGGACTGGAGGCTAAAACATATGAAGAAATTGGGTATGTTTAGTTTAATGAAAAGCACTGAGGATGATACAATGGCAGTATTCCAATATCTAAGGGGCTGCTACCAAGAAGAGGGGGGTCAACCTATCCTCTAAAGCACCTGAAGGCAGGACAAGAACCAATGGATGGAAACTAATCAAGGAGAGAAGCAACCTAGAACTAAGGAGAAATTTCCTGACAGTTAGAACAATTAATCAGTGGAATGGCTTGCCTCCAGAAGTTGTGGGTGATCTAACATGGGAGGTTTTTAAGAATAGATTGAACATCCATTTGTGTGAAATGGTATAATGTTTCCTGCTTGAGCAGGCAGTTGGTCTAGAATTCCTCCAAGTCACTTCCAATTCTATTATTCTGTTATTTTAGAATGAATAATAGAAAATAATTTAGGTAAATCTAGTATAACAAACATTAGGCAATGGAAAGAATAGACTCTGAAGCAATCCTGTGAAACACTACTAATAATGCTTTTCAATATACTGAGCAAGAAAAAAAGAAAGTCAAAATAACTCCTCAGGCTTTAAAAACTAATCACTGTCTTTCTATTGTAGAATTATTGATTATGTCTCATTAAAGTTGTCTGCATATTTCCAGTTGCATATCCAAAAGTCAAATCTACAAAAGAAGTCCATGTTATCATCAACTTAACTAAAAGACAAATGTTAAATTCCATCTGGGCTTTATGAAAATATAAATGTCCTTAACCCATATTTAAGTAGACATGCAGGTAGATTTTTATGGATGATGCTTGCAAACGTAACACATAAAACACATGTCTTTTCAATGGTAGAATAAATTAGACATTAGGAAGATTTAGGATAGTCAGTATTGGTTGGGTAATTTTATGTCTGTAGAATTGTTTTGGAAATGTCAGTGGATAAAACTGACATTTTTATCAAAATGTGTTTTTAAAATCTGTGCAAGGATGTGAAAAATTAGGTTACAAGATCTGCTATACTTATAATATCATGCTCTATATCGTGCATCAATTATGTTGACATGTAGTGGATGTGAAATAATATAAGTAATCCCATAGCAAAACCCTTTTGTTCCAAATTCTGTAGAAATATATTATGCTTCAAAATAATGCAGATGTCTAAATACAGGTGATTATAGTACATTGTAAATGAAAGTTTTTAAATAAGAAGCATTCTCCAGTGGCAGGTTAATGGACACTAACCTAAGAGTAATCCCCATATTTTTGCAGCCTGAATAGGAAAGCCTCCATTTAATATCTGTCACATAGAAAAATATCTTTTATGAGACTAGTGCAATAAAACAGGCCTACTTATTTGTAATCCAACAAAGCAAAAATAACTGCTCACTATCAATGATGGCCTGACATAGCTTCTTATTTCATCATCTTAGTAGGAGTGACTTCAATATAGAAAGAGATAATAAGTGATCTCCTTCCATTTTTATTGTCCTCACTTTTACATGTAAACCACATGCGTTCAGTTCAGTTTGTGATTTTGTAATATTACTTTCCCCAAAAAAGTACTGTATCATATTCATAATTTTATGTCACATTGCCGCACATTTTATAAAACATATTGTAAATTTTCCGTTCAGGAATAGTGTTAGTAGCCAGGGCAGCAGTCATCAAATACTCATTGTCTTGTTTTCCTTCATGTTGTATGTTTTGTCCGGGGAATTTAAAATATTGTGGATGGTTCTTCCTTACGTTATTTTCACTGAGCATTTTCCCTGAGACAGAATGACTGGCACAAGGATACACAATGGCTGATGGGCAGATTGACACATTATAATAGATGCATAGATTGCACTTTGTGCAGTTATAGCCTAATGAATAACTGAATTAGAAACAGTATGGACCTCAACAATGGAGGCAATATTTACTCAAATGTATTAGATTTAAATAAGGTGGTGAGATACATAGAATTATTGGATGAACAAGGAGAATTAAAATCGGACCAGGAACTAAGGAATCAAGGAATAAAGATTGATTGGTGGCCCTATCTCCAACTTAGGACAAGGTATAAAAAAGATTTGGAACTGTATGGTATCTATGGAAAACAATTGGAATTGGATAAAATATTGCTAGGGACAGGGGGAAAAATGATTATAAAAGCATACAACTTCTTCCTAAGATTCAAAATGGAAGAAGAAACTGTGAAGGAGACAATGTTAAGTTGGGCTAGAAATTTTGGGCATAGTATTGAATTAGACCATTGGGATAAATTATGGGAGAGAAATTATAAATTTACAATGTCAGCAGCCTATAAGGAAAACCTCTATATGATGTTCTATCATTGGCATTTACCCCCAGCGAGATTGGTCAAAATGTTTCCAAACTACTCACCTGAATGCTGGAGATGTAGTTATAAACAGGGAACTTTCTACCATATGTGGTGGACACAAGAAAATATTGGCATAAAATAAGGGAATATTTGGAAGAAATTACTGAACAAAAGATTGAGTTGAAGCCAAAACTATTTTTATTGGGCATCTTAGATGGGAAAACGGCAAAGAAACTTCAATATATAATATTACACATACTAACGGCAACCAGAATTGTTTTTGCACAAAATTGGAAACAGACTAATATTCCTTCAGAGGCAATGATAATAAGAAAGATATATGAATGTGCAGAGATGGATAGAATTGAAAGAGAGAGAGGAATCAGAATATTACCAAGTTTGGAGTAGATGGTATATATGGCTAGAGAATAGGAGTAAAATTATTGTATAAGAATTATATAATATTGATGATAATAAGAATGTATTGTATCTCTATATAAATACTACTATAATTCAAATGACTGTATAACATAGGATAGGGAACCATAGAAATAGAACTTATGTAAATTCAAATGTTATGGATGATATTGACATTGATATGAAAACGCTGTAATGACTGAAAATTTGTGTTTTGTTTTTTAATGTTGAAAATGTTCAATAAAACTTGTTTTAAACGAGAAACAGTATGGACCAACACTGTACTACCAAAAGAGGGGATATGGTCCTTGTTGTGGGGAAACTGAAAGCAGTTGAGTAGTTAGTGCTATGTACACTGTCTCATGCTGCTGAATAAAATGTGGGATATAAATCTAAGAAAAACAGAAAAGGGGGAAAAATTAATATGGGTATCTATTGGCTGTGTATTTGACCTTGCATTGCTTTGGATCTCATGAATCCAAAATCCGAATGCAATGCAGTGCTTTAGGGTAAATCATTCTTTAACCAAACCTGGGAGACATGTTGTCCATGGTGGCCTTCATCAAACTGAGATTAGAATCTTTAAACCACTTCATTTGCAAATATCTCTGAATTGAGCTGATTGGTGCCAAGGTTCACCAAGATTAAATCTTGCAATCTATTTTAGTGCCAGAGCTCAGTTCTGGAATAGAGAAAATAATATCAGAGAAGAGATCATTTCCCTGTAGATGTTGCCTGCTTTTACATTTTGCTCTCAGCTGAATAACTGCAACCAATCCACATACATTTGCAAATAGGAGCCTTAGGCTACAAGAAGCCTTGAACTCCAACAATTCTCTTTTTGAAAATCAAGAATCAGCTCACACATACATATTTTAGGTGTTTTTGTTTTATTTCCAAATCGAGAGTACTTTCTGAAACAGAGTTTTCTGTATATTGAAATAATTGCCAGCACATGTACGATGGCTCTAGGAGAGGAGTTCTTTGTGCTGTTTTGTGATGAACAACACATTATTGAGAAGCTAACCAAAGTAATAAATTACATTTTACTGGTATATGATTTTCTCCTCCAACTAAAATGCATTATTTATGTTCATTTACAGATGATTTAAAATACAAACAACTTTTTATATTTTGTTCAATTACTTCTGCATCAGAAGGTTATGCTTTATAAAAAAAATAGCTTATCATTAAACAGATCTAACAATATATCTTGCTTTACTCATGACTCCTAAGGAATGATACTTAGACCAACCAGTCAGTGGAGGATACTGATCTGTCAAAGCCGAAGATGTCATGTTTATTAAGAAATTCATGAAATGTCTTAATTTTGAAATCTGAAGGATTTATGCATTGTTAAAAGACTTATTTCAATCATCATACCCATATATTAACAATATATTTGTAAATCTTAAAATATGACTTGCTTCTTCTGGAATAACTTCGGTTTTAAGCCTTTAGGCAATTCACACTAGCAATTTATAGTATCAACTAGCCGCCACTATGGTGGTATATCACGGATGCAGACAGGCCTTATATAACCACAGTGATGAGTGGCTGTTGCTATAAATCTCAAGTATGAATAGGTTCAGCTTAGAGATTGTTTACAAAAGTCTGTTCCAATAGACCCAGTGGGCTTCAACTGTCTTTCTGTTTAAACAAATCAGGATATTACTCATTTTTGCCATGACTTAATGTTAATTGGCAATGGCCCATTACCTCATTAAGCTAAACACATCTAACAGTATGAGATTGGCTGAATTGTAGGAGCTGACAGCAAGCACATAAAATATTTGTAAGAAACAACCAGCCTAGTGCAGATAAAACACTAAATAAGAAACAGCTTGGCTATATGATCTGGTCAGCAAACAATGAAAATTTCATTACAGGGGATAAGATTGCAAAATGTCTAGAAAACTGCTTTTGTTTACAGTTTACTTTCACATTGTTGTTGATTCCACTAAATTTCATTTGGAGAATAAAGCTGTGCAGTTTAGTTTCCTATGTCCCTAATTCACTCAATAAGGATCCAACTGGCTCCACATTCCCTACGATTTACACTTTATTTGCAGTATATCTTGGATCTTTAATATGAAGAAAGCAGAGAACCTCCTATGAAAGAACACAGAGAAACACACACTTAAAAAAAGAGGAAAATTTATGCTTAATAGCTTCTAAATAGGTTTCATGTTTGGGGTATTTTTTATTCTGACTGATATAATATACTTCCCAGGTACTTTCTGCTTCACCTTTGGCTAAATCAGTTGCTTATATCCTGATCTCTTGCTTGTTAAGGCCCATAGTTCTATGCTAGTCTGGCTTCTGTGGCTGTTTCTGCCATACATCTGGCTATGCACTAATCAGATGGTAATGGTATGTGGGAATGACCTTGGGAGACAGAAGGAAGAACCGCAGACTGGATTAGCAACTTGTAAAAAGTATCATAGCCTTTGTAAGCAAAAGGATGTGAGAAGCATTTCAGAAGAGACCCTTCCTAGTTATCCAGACCACACATAATCCTTTGTAAGGCCTCTTTGGAATTTTTATTTTTGGCAAAAGTATATATTCTGCTCTCTTATTTTAAAAAACAAACTGTTAACAAAATCTTTGGTCCATATAGAAAAAAATGTTAACATTTATGACTAGATGACAATGTTGTCCAATAGTAAATGAGACTACTCAGCTCAAACTTTATCAAACTCATGTAATTATTTAACTGCTTATTTTTTTATATCACCTCCTCCAATAAGGCAGCCTTGACGCAATGACTAATTACCTCTGTAAAGAGGTAATAATTTATTGGTTGTGTATATATGTTACATACCACAAAATTAAATATTCAATTCTTTGGCACTTCAAATTAAATACAGTAAAGCTCAAATAGTTGTTTACTGGTAAGAAAATTCCCTCTGTATAATTATATATATTTGTCCATATATCCTAGAAATGAAGGTTGGGTTGATAAAAGAAAAAATGCCAAAGAGATTACTTATTACTTAAGTTCAGTTGAGTCAGCCTCATTTTCAACTGACTGCATAGACAATTGCTTACATCTCAACCTATATATAGCATTAGCCTATAGTGTTTTGAGGTTGTTCCTGTAATCTCTTTGATCTCCTCAATCCAGTTTTTCTGATATCTCCCCTCTTTCCATTTCTTTCAACTCTACCAAGAATATTTTTTCCCTTTTTTCCACTTACAGTATATCACATGCTCCAAGTATGTGAATTCCTGCTTCCTTATCATCTCAACAGAAGAGTCAGCATTCATTTGGACTTGGGCAGATTGATTAGATCTTGTAGTCCATAGCCCTCCTAGGAACTATTTCCAAATCCATAATTCTCTCTGTCTTTCTCAGTAGCCAATTGTCACAGCTATTCATCACTACTTGAAAGAGTAGGTCTGTCTGCTCTGAACTTTGTTGCCCTCAAGATGTCCTTACCCTTCAAGATCTTGCCAAAGATGGACACGGAAATGCTCTAGCACAAATTAATCACTGTTTAGGAGAGTACCTGTCTGTTTATTCAACAGCAGGTAGCCTTGTATTGTCAGGAGTGCTTACACAGCAGTGGGGATAAAATGGGTTAACTAGAAATATAACCAAATAAAAAACAGGGAAATCAACTAAGCAAATAAATAATAATATGAAAATGTATTGAAAAGCTACATAATACAGAATAATATAAAATGCTTTACTGCTGCATATAAAGAAGTCACTGGGATATTGATGTGAGTCATGCAGTTCAATTTAATATACAATCAATTTGTTTGCTTTCCTTAGCATTTCTTGGATTACAATACAGCTGAGAAAATAGTGATGTTAGTAATGACTCATTAGTGATAGCAATCTGAAAATGTCCTAGGTTTTCAGATGCAGTTCTTATCTCAAAACCTGCATATTATTTTTATATACACACAGACACAAAATAGTTAAGAGAAAACTGCATAAAAACATCCTCATATACATAAAATGCTTGTTTAAAAACAGCATGAATCAATTTATACTGAGGAATGCAAATAGACCAGATAGAGAGTTACAGTATCTATATATCTATCTTCCTAGATAAGCAGGACAATATACTTATACTGCCTGAAATATTTCCAGGAGATATTTAATGATTTAGCTAAGGAATAGCTTGGTTACATAGAAGCAAATGAAGCTTTAAGAAGTGGCCACTCATGAAACTAGCAAAAGCCTATTAAAATTTTCAACTAATTAACTACACACTATTTTCAAGTTATTATTTTTAAAGAAATAAACACACTATTTTATTAGCTGAACAAAAATTACAGAACATTAAACATAATTAAATTCTTGGACACTTACTGCATATAAGCTTACTGATTTCTTCATAATGAGTATCTTGATTGCCTTTATAGAATAAAGAGAATTAGTATTGGATTGCGTGACTGATCCTTTCTACTGAAGCTGTGATTGGACATAGTTTATCCCTGACTGGATGGGTGGACCCTTTCCAATCTTTGACTGAATATCAGGTTTTAAGGCAGAAGGAATTGAAAGTAGCTACTCAGTGGGGCTCTGTGTGCAATTTTGAAGACTAGGCTAGATTTGAAACAGAAGAACTGAGTATACAGCACAGCTCATGGACAGAATTATGCTTTTAGCAGCAGTTAATATTTTGTTTAATCTGAAGAACCTTCAGTTAAAAATAACAGGAAACAGCTGAAAACTTTGACTGAAAGCTTTTGGACAGCTACCGGTACTGGCACTCAGAACTGATAATATGAAACCAGATGGGCAACTAGTTTAACTTGACTGAAAACAGCTTGCTATATACTGTATAAAAAATTCTCTTCTCACCTCTATAGATGGTATCTGTCCTCCTCACTTTCAGCTCCTCTACCAGAAGTTTGGGAGTCTGAGGGTTCTGCACAGCATCTTAACTGTTCTTAACACTTTACTCTTCTATATAGGTAGTTCTGTTATCGTTTTTCGGGTCACAATTGCTCTTCCAGTTTAGAAATCACAGCCCTGAGTGCTCCTCCCACTATTGAACCACTTTGACCTTTACTTTCCACATTGTTTTTAGTTCCTCCTTTAGGCCCTAGTGCTTTTCCAGCTTCTCATACTCCTTGATGTTGCTATCACTTGGCACAGCTACATCTAGCACCACCACTATCTTCTGCTTCTTGTCTATTACCACAATGTCTGGTTGACAGTAGTACCCGTCTGTACCTTTGGACATGGAAGTCCCACAGGATCTTAGCTCTGTTATTCTCCACAACTTTCTGTAGAATCTCCCATATGAACTTAGGAGCCGATATGCTGTGCAGCTGTTCCTGTAAATGCCAGCTACTTGATTGTGCTGTTTAGTGTGTGCTATTCCTGCCTGCATCTTACACCCTGCCACTGTGTGTTGGCCTCTCTCTGAGACCTCTCTCATATTTTACCCCTTGAGTTCTGTCTAGTGGGATAGAATCCTTCTTCTATGGGTCTGGTGCTTGATGCCATCTTTTGTGCTACTATCAGTGCCTCAGTGCTGTCTTTTTGTTCAATCCGTTCCAACCACTGATAAGATTTCTCAATGACTGCCGCCTCAGCTAACTGTCAATGATACACATAACAGATCATCTGTCAATGATACACAAGACAGATATCTTTGTATCTTATGATTTATGTTGATTGCTTTTATTAGTATCCTATTATGATTTATGTTGATTGTTTATTTAGTATTCTATGACTGTCACTGAGTGTTGTATCTTATGATTTATGATGATTGTATTTTATGATTCTGATCATGATTTATCACTTGTTTGCATATTCATTGAGAGCTTATGCACCAGAGACAAATTATTTGTGTGTCTAATCACACTTGGCCAATTAAGTATTCTATTCTATTCTATTCTATTCTATTCTATTCTATTCTATTCTATTCTATTCTATTCTATTCTATTCTATTCTATTCTATTCTATTCTATTCTATTCTATTCTATTCCATTCCATTCCATTCCATTCCATTCCATTCCACTCCACTCCACTCCACTCCACTCTAGATACATCCCATGCAGGATTTTGTCTTGCCATGGCTGTTCTCCTGTTTCATTTTACTCCCATGTATGTTGCTGCCTCACCTCAGCATTCTCTCAGCAGCTCATTTTTGAGTACCAGTTTATTGATGTACTCCTGGATATTCTCGGTATCATCCAGGACAGTGGCTTTGATACTCACCAGACCCCAACTATCCTCTTTCTGGCTGGTGTATAGTTTCTGGGTGTTGGACTTGGAGCAGAAATCTCCATATATTGTGAGGAGTTTCCAAATCTTCACATTGGCTGCTTCCATGACCTGCTTTGGCCATGGATATTTGATGACTGGCAGGGCATACATGGCATGGACCTTGTTCTTCCTATTGAGTTGGCTCTTCAAGACTTGTCTAAACCTTTGGTGGTACTTGGATGTTGCTGTCTTCCTTGCTTCCTCATCATGGTTGCCATGTGACTGTGGGATACCAAGGTACTTGTAGCCAGTCTGTATGTCTGCTAGATGGCAGAGAGGTTCCATCTCATCAGTTTTAATTGTTTCCTCTCTTGACCTACTATTGGCCACACTTCTCCAGTCCAAATGACATCCCTATGCCCTCACTAGCACTCAGAACTGACAATGTTAGATCAGATGGGCAAATAGTTTAACTTGATTGAAAGCAGATTTATTTGTTTATATTAGCAATAGCACTTAGACTTATATACTGCTTCACAGTACTTCAAAGTACCTCTCTAAGTGGTTTAGAGAGTCAGCATATTACCCCTAACAATTTGGGTCCTCATTTTCCCAACTTCAGAGTCAACCTTGAGCCGCTCAAGATTAAACTCCTGGCAGTGGGCACAGTTAGCCTGCAATACTGCATTCTAACCACTGTGCCATCATGACTTCCAATGTTGGGAGTTATACACCATAGTACAGTGTTCCACACTGATTTGACATTCTAATTTTTCATCTCACTGTTAACTATGTGAAAACTTTGCTTGCCATGGGTCATTTGGATTGTGTAATTCTTCATTAGCCCTGAAACTATGATCCAGCTGAAGCTGTAAGCTGTTCTTTGCTGAGTCTGAATGCCACAGAAAGCTACAATTTGCCACTAAACAGAAAAGGAAAGGAAAATCATAGCCCATGAGCACACGTCTGATTTGTGTAACTCCAACCACGTTTTAATGCAGTGTCCTTCCAGATGGTGCTGAAATATGACTTGCAACAACTCCAGCCCTCACTGTTTTTGATATGGAAAGCTGGAAGGTGTAGTTCGATACCATCTGGAGGGCCACAGGTTCTTCGTTCTGAACCAATTCTCTGAATTGGCATCCTACAACACCATATGGCTTTGGTTTGTTTCCCTTTCTTGTAGGAGAAGAAGAAAATATATTTTATCATAATGGAATAGTCATGGCTTAGGGAAAGAGCACAGATGTATTCAGATGCACCCAGTTCAGCCCCAATAATTTCTTACTAAAAGCATCTCGAACGAGTAACTTGGAAGATGGCTCCATAGAGAAAGGCACTGATTGTTGTAGAAGATAGTGTTGGATTAATTGACTGCATTTAGTTAATTGCTCTATAAAGCAACTTTACAAGGAGAAGATGACTCATTTCTCATTGTGTGTCTTCATTCCAACCCAATCAGTCTTGGGTTGGAATAAAAGAAGCATTATGGATCATCTTTGAGAATAGCAAATGCTGCATGTCTTTTTCTAGTTAGCTAATTAATTATTTAGTATGGTCACTGACCAAAATTCTGCAAGTTAATAAAGTAAACAAATAGCTTCTGTTTCAAGTAAAAGTACTTTAAAAGATATCATTAAGGTGATTAAAGTGTGTTGGATTTTACAAACAGTGTAACAACATTTTACTACATCAAGGAAATGGAATCATACCGGCCTGACAGGCACAGGTATATTTAAAATAAGTTAGAACTATTTTGGTTCTTCATCAGTAGGGAGTTACAAAATTGGCCCTTGTAGCTCTATAGGGAGATGCAGTGTAACAGAACATAGGCTATAGATTCATTGGCCCATTTCTACAATGGCACAATCTTAGCATGTAAGGGACTCTATTTGCCCTTAAGAACAGCTGCTAAGAAGGCATTGGCACCTGCTAATGTTATGCTCTTTAAGGTTTGGAAATGGTGATTAGATTTAAATATCTGGCCAGGCTGAAAAAGAGGCTCGACATGTATTTGTGGGTAGGGCAGATTGATTCCATCTGCCTTCCAAGTCTCTACTGCATTGCTTGAGTGCAGTAGTTGCACAGGCACAACATTATCAAAATCACTTCTTCTGAGAACCTACAGTGTTAGAGTTTTCTATGTTGATTACTAAATACCTGCTATAATCAAATAACCTAGATCTTTTGGGAAAAAAAACAACAACTTTTAACTCGGGAGACTTAACAACTTTCAGAGTCTCTGTCATGCTAAAAATCTGATGCAAGACCCTGTGGTTGAAGATGGACTCTCTGGAGCAGTTAGATTTGATCCTGTGATACCATCTTCCTTGCTGCATAGCATCCCTACTTGAGCTGGTGGAGCCATGTAAAATATACTCCTTAAAAATTGAGATTGCACCCTTTCCAGAAAGTCCAAGGCAGGGGTGTTAAATTCGTGATGAAACGTCGTCACATTACGTATTGCAACTTTCCCCCTTCACTAAACTGGGGTGGGTGTGGCCAGCACATGAGCCATCCGGCCTGCAGGCTACAAGTTTGACACCCGTGGTCCAAGGAGTGATATGGTGCCAAAGGTGGTGGATATACCTTAGCCAAATAGGAATAATTTTAGCATTACTGAAATAATGTACCTCTGGCAAAGTGAACGGTTTATGTTGCTGCCACTAACTTTTGCACATTTTGAACTACATCATGCAGTGTGAGTTTGCTTGAAATATGACAAACTATGGCCAAGTATTACAAATTTTAACTTGTTCTTCTGTTTGACTCTTTGACTACTAGGCATGTCCTGTAGGTTGCCTGCAAAAATTAGCTTCAATATAATTGATTTCATATGCTTCCTTTGAATAATAAGTGGTTAAGCACTAGAACTTGTTTAAATTCACTTGGTGCTTGCAATAGGAGTTCTGCATCATTTGGATATAGTAAAATGGTAATGTGCTTATTGGCTAATTCTGGGGATGGATGCTCTGAATTATTTATTTTGGTCACAAGATGATTGGCGTACAATTATCAGGGGAAACAAGATGCATCCCTGCCTTATTCTCCTTTAACCTTTATTCTTTACTAGAATGATACAACAGTGAACCTTTATTTTAGATTTTGTTGGAATACCTATATTAGTAGAAGCAACCATTTATCTATTGTGTTATTTTTGAATTTGCCTCAGAACTTTGTCCTGAAGGTAAGGTTGACCTGACACCAATAAATACAGTGTGCAATATGAAACCTATCTTGGCCAGATAAGGCAGAATCAAAAATTGAGCCTCCAGTTCTGAAATCTACTTGCTTGTGTTCTAGAATGTGACAGTTGATTAAATCAACACTTAGCATAAAACTTGCTAACTATCTTCAAGAATCTGATGATCCAGTAGTTACAAGATCTCTCTCTCTCTCCCTCTCCCTCTCCCTCTCTCCCTCTCCCTCTCCCTCTCCCTCTGCTACAATAACTATACCCCAGTTCTTGATATTTGCATAACATATATGATATATGCAACCTACCATTCTAGATTACTATATAGAACATCAGGATTGCCTGAGACTCTACCAGGCTTAAATTGTTGGACTCCACATCTACTCCAGGTATAATTGTTGTGCAATTAGAACCCTAAAGTAATGTTCCAATGCTGTTGCCAGTAGAAGACAAGATGATGAAAGGAGACTAATGATTAAATAAGAAGCTTTGAAGTACCAAATAAGGCTGGCTTATTACTTGTAATGTTGCCATTGTTTCCAGAAGCCCTTAAAAAAAATTTTCCCCCCCTGAATTTGTAGAAATACAGCGCAAATTTGTTTGCACTGTTTTTTTTTCCAGCAATAAAAGTTCATGGATGGAATGTAAATCTGGATAACCAATTCTTTCCTAACTTCTTGACACTTGGAGTCAAACCATGTCTGGATGGGGCACCTTAATCTTAGATAGTTCTTGCTTATCTGATACAAAATAGATCATGTTGGTAGCAGTAATTGAATAAATTGCTGTCACTCTGTAAAATGCAATTTCTGGTCCTATTTTCAGCATTGTAGAGAAAATGAATTATAATTTTGATTATAATTCAAATATTATCTATTTCAGATGTTGTTTCCATTTAACAGAGACTACCCTTGTATTTTATTCCTTGTTAACACTAGAATTTAATTTCATATACTAAAATATTACTAAGATGCCAGAAATACAATAGCTATCTATGTAGAAATTTTATGTATGCCTTGAGATTACAATATAGCCTTTTGCTATATTTGCTTTCTGACCTTCAGTATAGAATTTTTGGTGCATTATCAATGCTCACATACCCACTGACAAACCGACAGAACCAAGATCACTAGTTTAATAGCTTTCATTGCAAATAAGCACAGTATGCTTTTTTGTTTTTGGAAAGCAACTAGCAATTTTACTTATAACATCCAGAACACAGGAAATTAAAGCTAACAAAAACTGACAAAAGGAAATGTGTTACTTTTCCAAAGTAACACAGAAGTACTTCTATTTTAATATAGAAGTGCCCTTTATTTGTGAATAATTCAAATGTATAGCCATTCTGTTAGAAGAGTTTCCAGTAAATTACTACAATTTCTCTCTTTCATATACTTATTGGGCTTCATTTTTCAGCGCAATGCTTTGACATTATAGCAGTCTGAATTATTGTAAAGTTGTGCCAAATCTTGGAGCATTTTTGCATTGTTAATCGATATTAACCTGCAAGAGAGCTATAAAATTCTCTAGCACAGCAAGTTTCAGGAGAAGGAGGGGACGGTAAATAAATTTTACACATGGTTACATATACTACTTAACATTAGACCCTATTCAGGTTCAAGAACTTTAATCACTCTCTAAGTGTGAAGTTAGTTCTTACAGAGCCATTAAAAACATGATATCAAACATATATATCAGTGGTGGGTTGCTACTGGTTCGCCCCGGATCGGGCGAACTGGTAGTAGCGGCAGTGGGAGGTTCTGCCCACCCTCCTGGACATTGCACATGTGCACGCCCATGAGCGAACCAGTAGTGATGGGTTTTGAAACCCGCTCCTGATATATAAAATACACACAAAATTAAAGCCTCAAAATGCACACATGTGCAGGGGTAATTAACATTTTTAAAAAATCTTACTAGCCCTTCTACACCTACTTTTAATATGAGTACTATAATAACACATAGTTATAACTCTTCATGATACAGAGAAAGTTGTTGATTGAAAACAGAAAATATTTTCTTTCATTTCTTCTGTCCATGTGCTTCTATTTTTTCCTATGACTTTTTTCCAAAGTTCAGCAGGGCACGATTTTATCATTTTTCCAGTCAACTGAAGTACAAGGGTTTCACTTCAAGTTCTCCAACCACACACACAGCCACAATGGTGCATTTCTCCTTGTAGGATGAAGCCTGAGACTAAGTTTCAAATCATGTCATTTGAAATCTGTGGAGTTTAGAGGACTTTATTATTAAACAACAATACCAGCTCTCAAATAAATGTCTGATCTATACTCAGATCACCATCTATTTTCAGTTGTAACATCTATATGACAATATTTTTCTCATTTAAGCCGATAGAAATAGATGCACTTGATCAATGCATAACTTGCTTATTATTCTTTTATGGCAATGTGTTCTTATAATCAAGATAGGTGTGATAATAAATGTCTTTTTTTTGGAAATTAATTTATCCTCATCTCCCACTATTGTCATTATGCCAGGTTTTTAGTCAAGCCCTATAAGCATTGATTTATATTCATGTAGAGCATGATTCATATTCAGTTCAACACAAAAAGATCAGTAGTAGAAACCAGCAGGTGTATAAAATGGGGACAGACACAGCAGGTGAAAGCTTTCACAAGTTCACTTTATGCTACCAATGTTGTTTGCCTTTCAGCAAGATTTAGAAGAAGGCATGCAGTAGAATTAGTAATACTGAGTTATTAGCTCTATAAAGATCATTATATTTTTAATTGGATTTAATAGTATTTACAGTAGATTTACAGTAGATTGTGAGAAAAGTTTTTGCACCAGCTGGTGATGGAAGTGGATATACTAAGTTTTAAGGACTGGTTTTAGGACCTATGCATGGTTCCTTTTTGTAGACTTCAGCTCGATATTCAATATCATCATTCCAGAAACTCTTCACTCAGTTTACTGATAACTACAGAACCCTCCCATCTTGGACATAGTCTGTTTCAACTCCTCCTCTCATGATGTCACTACAGGGCATTGCTTACTAAAACAACTAGACACAGAGGCAGTTTTCCCCTCATGCATTCTTATGCCTAAGTATATTCACTCATATTGCATGGCTGTAGTATTATTATTATTATCCTTCTCATCTTCTCTACTACCCTCTTTTATTGGTATCATTATTATGATTATTATTACCCTGTTGCTTTGCACGTACCGTGAGAACTTCTGCACAAGAGACAAATTCCTTGTGTGTCTAAACACACTTGGCCAAATTAAGCCTATTCTGTTCTGTTCTGTTCTATTCTGTTCTACATCCATGGAGATCTGGTTCTTATTTTTCTGTTCTTTGGTGCTCTGCAAGCAATAAATTAGGATAAGAAAAAGACTGTTAGTGACATAAATTGCTATGATTGGTGTTTGTATGTGTGTGGGTGGGTGGGTGATCTTGAATTTGTGTATTGTCAGATGGGGAATAATCCTTGAAATGAAGCCACCATTGGCCACCAATCAAAGCATTCTGGAGTACTGAAAAGCTCATGAGAATAGAAAGCGATCTGCTCCACTGGTTTGTCAATATCACCAATGTTGCATCCTCAGCTGTTTTTTGTTCTCAGATTGTTTTCTGAGTTCCTAAGGCAGAAAGTCTGTGACCAGAGCTAATTTTATTGGCCTTTTTAACTCTTGCTCATTTGGAAAGACATCCTTCTTGTTTAAAAAAAAAAACCCTGTCCACTAGAGAAGATTACTTTCGTAACTGTCAACAATCTACATCTACGGGCCATAACAACTCTTGTCACTGAGCAATTAAATTCCACATGATTTGGTAACCTTATTTAAAATTTTAAGAATGTTTTTTTTTGCAACTCTAACAGATTATCAGTATTTGAACACTAATAGCATGATTATGACTTTCCCACCCCATCCCCTAGATAGCAAACATTACCATTACTCCACTCCAGAAGTGCCCCAGTGAAAGAAAAGGATTCATAACAACAATTTTTGCTCACAAGACCTATATAAAAGAGTGCTACATTTTCTTTTCTTTTTTCTTTTCTGCTTTCATTGGCAGCATAACCATAGCATGCATCATTAGGAAGAGAAATGCAGTAAAGTAATGCAATTTGCAGTGCATTTTTAGTTAGTTTTCAATTTAAGCAGAATATAGCTTAGTCCTCTGGGAGAAATTTTGTCTTTACACTACCAGGTAATATGTATGCTTTTAAGTAATCCCATCATTTTTTCCCCCTTGATACTGAAACAAAATCAGTTCCAGCATATCCTAAGCTTCTTGTTAATTAAATTCATTTGTTTTACTTACTGAAATATTTAGACAGAATGAGTGAAGCAAAGATAAGATAACTAGGTCAAAACTTTTTTTTTTTTACTTTGTATCCTGCTTGCTCCAAAGGTTTTCTGCTAGCTTTATTCCAAGGCTGTTATTTGCAAAGGTTATTTGGAGAATATCACATTTATGCTTTATTTCTTTTAAAATTGATTCACTGGGGACATCTCATTAGTTCAGGAAATAGCAATCGCATTCCCCGTAGTTCTGTTTTGCATGGTACTGTTGAAGTCAGTGAAACAAAACTAGGCACTCACCTGGTGAACATCTGGACTCTTTTTTTTAATACATCCCATGAGAATGGTAGTTACATAGACTTCTTCTAACATTCCCAGTTAAAGCTGAAGAAGTAGATTGGTAAAGATTCCAACATTATAAAATGTTGAAGACAGGTGCATTGAAGATAATGTTTTAACATCTCTGATCTAGCTTTATTGTTCCTGTGTTCCTGTATTAAACATAAAATTTAAAAAGGGAATGATATATGCAGTGAATATGCTTCAGGAAAAATGGTATTATTTTCTTTTTCTTTTTTAAAAAAACATTATTAAACAGAATAAGGCAAATTCCTCCATAGGCCGTGAGCTTGAGTGGAAACCTACATTTTATATGAAAATTGTTGTGAAAGGCTCTTGGTCTGTTTTGATGTCTTACATAATCTTTATTACTGCAATGCAACAGTGAAGAGCCAAACAAGAAAGAGTGTTTAGGTAAAAGACAAGACAAGATAGTGTTGGACTACTGACCGAATTCCACTGTACCATGTAATGCTTTTATAGCAATAGTAATAGCACTTAGACTTATATACTGCTTTACAGTGCTTTATAGCCCTCTCTAAGCGGTTTACAGAGTCAGCATATTGCCCCCAACAATTTGGGTCCTCATTTTACCCACCTCGGAAGGATGGAAGGATGGGTCAACCATGAGTGCTTGGTGAGATTTGAACTGCCAAATTGCAGGCAGCCGGCAGTCAGGAGAAGTATCCTGCAGTACTGGCTACTTTCCAGATTTTGAGACTATAATCACACTTTATATAATAGGAGGAATCACAAAAGCAAATAAAATATGGGCTCTGCAATGTGGAAAAAAGGAGAAATTGATATTGATATATTTAATTCCTTTACATGTCTGTTTCATTAAAAGGAGAGGAAAAATATCAGGGGCTTTTAATGATTTTGTAACATCTGCTTGATTATAGATACAGAGGCAGAGATTCTGCAGGCAGCTCCATTTGAAATACCCTTCAGTGAACAGTATGGACTCTCTATGCTTGCACACCCAGTAAATTCACAATTTAGTTTTCATACATTTGTTACAATTTTTCATCCATTCCCTTGAAATGAAGGGTAGAAAGTTGGAGAGAGATTAAGATGTGTCATCTTAGATAAACCACAGTATCCAATTTTCTTTTGGCTCCTATCTTCCCCTCTTGTATCTTTTGCAAGGACTGTTTAAAGTTCTATCCTTACTCAAAGCTTTGAAAGCTAAGAATATTTGGCAAGCAAGACTGGTTGAAACCACTAACCTTTCTAGGCTAGCATTCAGTTCCCTAAGCAACCAATTAATGGAAAGCTTTCTTTATTTTATTGAGATAGAAACCTCAGTCACCCAAGTATTCTGATAGATCCCATTCAACAGACTGAAGGCTGAGAGTAATAAGTACGTATATATTCAAATTAGAATAATTATTCAGTGTGCTGATAGGGAATGCAAGATGCACGAACTGAGAACTATTTATAACAAGGTTGAAAATAAAATTGTTATTCTAGGCAACATATTGTTCAGGACAGATATTTTAGGCCTGAATCTTAAACCTATATACCTAGGAGTGTTATTATTTGGGGGATAACTTCTGAATAGACATGGCTTATCAGTTATGTAAAAATCTACAATTGTTATTAAGGCTTTAAAATGGATTATGTGTCTCAAATAACCTATGGATATTACATCTCATTAGACATGCAAGGAGTAGGTTTCATTCATCTAATTATAATCCCATTGCATGCTTCTGATTATCCAGAAAGATATGATTTAATTGTTCCTTGAGCCATGTTTTTGATCCATTTAAAAAAGAAAGAAAGAAAGTCAGCATGAAATAAAGAAAAAAATTATCAATAAGACTGCATAAACAATAAGCAATTTGTACTATAATCAATCCATGGATGAAAAGCTGTTTTTTCCATTCATCTTTATCTTTTAGAAAAAATTAGTAACAGCTAGTGCTTAGTTTTACAGCTCCTCTTAATAATAAGAATATAAATAAGATTGCTAATTTATAGAGCTACTTGACTCAAAATAATCCTCAACTGTGAAAATGTTATACATTTGTCCAGAATTAGGATATATTTATGCAAATTCATGTACATCACTATTCTGGAGGCCAGAATACATGTACAGTTTTCCTATAAAAATATAGTTGTAATATTTGCAGTGATAAATTATGGGCAAGTAAAATATATTTTTGCATTGGAAACCAGTTTTTTAAATTGAGAAAGCATCATAGAAAAGAAAAGCAACCTGTATACTCACAGCTAAAAAGCTAAGAAAATAGATTTTAAGAATCTGTCCCTCCCTCTCCCTCTCCCCCCTCCTCTGTGTAAAGGGGGATATTTGTTGTGAGATAGAGCTGTCACATTCACAACAACAACAAAAGATTTATTCTTGGCTGTCTAAAATTTGGACCAAATGATAAGAACATGAGGAGACCTGTTGGATCAGTGGTGTGTTCCTCCCGGTTCGGTTCGGTCCGGTTCGGCCAAGCCGGTAGTGGTGACGATATGACATCACCGAACTGGTTCTCCCCCCCCCGCCCACCCACATTATTCTTACATTTTATTTGGTCCCACCCCCAATCTATTGCTGCCTCCTGAGTCCCAGCTGATTACTAGAGGGAAAAAAACTGTTTAAACTCTTGCTGTGGGACTTCAAAGGGCCATCCTACAGCTGATCAGTGTTAAAAGCAAACAAATGAGTTGGGTTGTAAGTGCGAGGACTGGTTGTAAGTGCGAGGACCTTCCAGAAATGACTCTGACCAGCTAGCCATGCCCACCTGGTCACATGACCTCCAAGCCACACACAAAATAAGCCACGCCCACAGAACCAGTAGTAAAAAAAAATAGAACCCACCCCTGTGTTGGATGTCTTGTTTCCAGAATGACCAACTTAATGGATAATTAGACTTTTTTCAATATATGACCAAAAGAAACTTCTTAAAGTAAGAATTCACCAATGGAGGATGGAGAATTCTCCCCGGAATGTTGGTAACATTGTTTGCTGTAATGAATATTAGAAGAGACCTTACAACCCTTACATAACTAAATACATATTTGTAGACACAAAATTCTACTTCAAAACATGATTGATTTGGAGGAATCAGAGTGTACCAGAATGTATATATTGAAATGGAATCTTCAGCAATTATATTTATTTAAAGTGTTTACATGTTCATTTACGTAAAAGATATTTCTGCAGAAACTGGCAATGCATCTAAATTGCAAACCAGGCATTCAAAGAGCAAGAATAAGCTATTGTTCATTTATTTAATATGCATGGTAACTTGAAAAAGTAACTGTGCATTTTCATTATGAGCCAAAACACATTATAAATCAAAACACAAGACTAAAATCAGAACTAGGCAGTCCGTGGCTGCAGGCCACAGGAACTACTGTATTCCATTAGCACTCTGCTAATGGACACACCCCATAGAATCTACTTAAATTTGGTAGAAAAATTATTACATTTGGGCAAACAAAAACTTTGCAGAAAACTGGTAAATAATTGAGAACTAATGTTACAGAAGCTAGCAAATGAATATATACAAATATAAGGAAAGTAATAGTGCAATAGGTGAATGTGAGTCCTACTTGTAAATAAACAATCAGCAAAATGCTTTAAGGAAACGAAATAGGAAATAGGAACTGTTTCTCCTTGAATCACTAAGTCTTTTTCAGAAATGTAGGCTTGCATATCTGTTTCTCCCCAGCTGCGATATGTAATCTGATAGGATGTGATACATACCTGTTAAGACTGGACATCAATATTATGAAACTTTGAAAGAAAGAAAAAAGATATAATATTCTGAACTTTCCATTCAAGCCAAGAGGAAAAACAGCTGTAGCTTTATTTTTTCACTAAGGATAGCTGTAGCAATCCGGTTTATACATGTTACAAAACTGTTCACATATGTGACCTGTCTTACGATCAATGTATTATTCAAATATAAAGTCCTTTAGTTAATATTGCAGCTATTTTCCAATGGCTGGAAAAATCAAGACAAGTAGATCCAGACTAATTATACTATATTTAACAATAGTATAGTAAATCCCATTTAAATGAAATTAAAAATCAACATGATTAACCCAAATCCTATTGATTTCACTTTAACTGGCTGCAACCCTATATATATATATATATATCTACTGAGGAAAAAGTGCAAGTAGGGGCATTGCGTTTAAGGTGATTTATGCTTAGGTAGGGGGATGTAAGATTACAGACAAGGTAAAAGTAATTTAGTTTTAGTCCAGTCTATGGTGGCAGCATGTTTAGGTTTCTTTTCTGGGTCTTCACAGTCCACTAACTGATTCTAAGCATGTTGTGAAAAAGGATGTTGTTACATTACTGACAGATATTAAGTTAATCTGGAACCAACAATTCTAAATTTTCAAAAACAGAGTTACTTTCAGTGACCGTTGTTTACACAAATGATAGCAAGGGATGCACAATTACATCCCGTGCTTTTGCACAACAGCATAACTGTATAGCAATTCTGGCCTCTCTACATTTATTTGAAAAACTGATTCTCCTTGGTTCCTAATCCTACAACAATTTCTTACCTCATAGTCTCAGTGACTCCTTAATATCTCTTACAGGAATATAAGATCTTATACTGAATGAGACACATATATTCCATAAGGAAAAGAAGCACAGAATCTCATTTTCTAAGCACTTTACTAAGATCTACAGAGGCATTGTTGAAGTACAGATACTTTGCTTCATAATATGCTGGCTACCCATTTATTATTGTAAATTAAAACCATGTAAGAAAGGCATGGAGCTTAGCTTGGGGAGTACCATAGTATGTCTTAGTGACCAAACTGTTGCCCACTTGATACAAAATTGAGGATTCATTGTTTAAATTGTTGAGCAATGCCTTACAAGATTTCCCATTTCTATTTGGATATGCCTGATTGAACCTAGAACCTTCAACATGCAAAGCATGTCAGATATAGGCATTTCTCTTCAGCTGTTATTTTATGAAAACAGGGTTTTGTGATAGTACCGAGAATTTTAGTGGAAGAAACGCTTTTCCTTCCATAAACATTCTTATAAACATTCTGCTTGTATGTAGCTTGTAATCTTAAATACCTAGTTGTCCCCCAGCAAAACTGACGAGAGTGGCCAATTAGTGAAACATAATTTCTAACTATCATTTTAAAAAGAGCTAACTTT